AAATTTTCCAACTTTCAGTGAAATTTTCACTTTCCAAAATTATTTATAATCATAGGTTAGATATATGAAAAAAAGTATATGGATCATTTGAATAATTCATTGTAGTAAATAATTATTAAATGTTTCCCTAGAATGTATCTTTTCTATCTAACTGAACAATGTTACAAGTAGGATCCAAAAATTTATTAAAAGAAGAAACTATTTCACTTTATTTCAATCAGGCCAAATCACAAATTAAAAAGAAAAGGAATTTATGGATAGTCATGGCTGTCTATGAAGTGATATGGCAATAAAAGATAAGGGTTAAAAAAAATTCAGTTGGTTGGTCATTTGGTCAGATTTTGGGAAGTGTCTAGGGATGAGAACTTTTTAACCTCCCCACCTCATTCATGACAAAGCAAAATAACATAAAAAAACAATGAAGAGCATCAATAAAAGCATTGTTTAGTATTTTTGTATAAATATCTATTGGCAACAGAATTAATTTAGGTTTTAAATGAATTGTGGGAAAATGAAGTAAAATCAATAAATAAAATAATAATAATGAATAATAAAAAAATAAAAAAGAAAGACATTTTCCCATGATGCTAGTAAAAAAGGAAACAGAAATTTTATTACCCCAACTTGGTTTTATCAAATGCACATTAGGCAGCACTGTTTAATCTATAAATAGACAAACATTTTCTTTTCTCTTCCTCTTTATTGCTCCAAAAAGTGGCAACACATGGAAAAGGATGGCCCAGCTAGTGTATGTTCATTTCCCTAGTCTACTGATGACTGAATTCTCCTTTCCACATTCCAACACATGGCATACATATGTGTCTTCCAAAACCTTGACCTATGAAGTAAATCAATATTTTCTTTGGCTGTTCCAACTCAGTGCAAGGCTGACTTGAGCTTGACCATTATAATCATGCTTAAACCTTTCAGTGATGAAGTACAAACTTTTCTTTGGTCATTCTAACTCAGTGCAAGGTTGAAGAGCTTGATCATTATAACCATGCCTAAATCTTTCAAAAATGAAGTAGATATAAACTTTTCTTTGATCATTCCATCCTATCCAAACTTCTGAACCAGAAAAGAAATGAAAATATCCAAGAGACATTCAGAACTTTGTTTCACTATAGTTTATATATAAAAAAGAGAATAAAAGTCCATAGTAGAAACCTTAGTTTTTTCTATGCTTCTTCATTAAGTGTTTACACATGAACACGCAAACACACCTAAAGTACACACAAACACGCAACCTTAAATTCCATAGAATCTTGGAAAGAAAACTCATTCCCTAATTTGTTTGTTAGTGCCATTTTTTCTGCACCTTCAATCTACAAATAATATACAGTTAAAATATAAACTAAACTAATGAACATAAAGAATTAATTTTACAGTTTTGACATTATTAAATAATCTGTGGAGATTATCTCTACTATGTCTGCAAAGACCCCTGCTAGGTAGCACTGTTTGGAAGTATAAAAGAATAGATAGAACCCACTCCACAATCTCTCTCTCTCTCTCTCTCTTTTGTTCTCTTGCTCCAGAATATGGCAGCAAAAATGACAAGAATCCTCTATTTCAGCAAAGAGTTCCTCCCCTGGCAGGTCATCTTAATTTCAGCCAGCCACACGTCATATATATACAAATGATATTGGAGAAATTGGAGAATTGAATTCCAGTCGGTTCATTATATTCACTTATATGCAAATATCATTGGGAAAATTATGAATCCATCTCCTTTCCCCCAGCTGTGGGTTAAATAGTAATAAAACTTGCATTTATAAAAAGAAAATAATTTTTCTTACAATCCTACATATGCTTCAGTTTACAAAACCTATAAATGTTTTTCTTCCTATTTCAACCATCTGTGGATACACAAGTTGATTTTATCTCTTCTTTAATAATGTTACTCTTTATATAAAAATATATATCCACCACATGTTGAATTTGTATCCTTTGAAAATGTTAAATTCATTTACTTTGAAAATGTTCATCCTACTCAGAAAAATTTCATAACTCTTTCTCTTACAAGTTGGTGACCAACAGCAACCTAGTCCGTTAAAACCCTGTATAGTATTAAATCATTTTATTGACATTTTTTTTTTAATCATTTCACCCCAGCTTATGGCCATATCCCATTTAAACACCAGTTCTCATACAATCACCAAAATTAAGTAATATCAAGTCTGGTCAATACCTAGATAGATGACCACTTAGTAATACCAGGTGCTGTAAATGTGGATGTGTGGGTGGTGTAATTGATAATAGCTCTGAATTGCAAATTGGAGAGCAGAGTTCCATTTCCAGTTGGGTTCATTATATTTAATGATGTAAATATAATGAACCCAAATGGAATTGGAACTCAGCTCTCCAATTTCTAATTCCAATTGGGTTTGTTATATTTGCTTACATGTAAATACCCTTGGGAATGGTATGAATCCACCTCTTCTCTCCTAATCTATGGGTTAATTAGTAGGATTTTTATAAGTAAATCATTGTTATCTCAAAAAAAAACTTGTATAGTCTAAAAATTGTTGGCTTGCAAAAGATTGATAAGCTGTAAAATCAAACAAACAATTGTTTCACCCCAAACAAGATAATAATGCTACTAAGACGCCAGCGGTTACCGAGAGTGAAAAAAGTGAGAAGACATTAATGAGGAGACAGGACATTAAAAGAACAGGGTTCAAGAAGACAGTAGATGGTAACTGACATTGCATTTACATCTTTTGAAAATTGTAGTTATCAGGGAAGCAAGAAATCAGAAGGGAGTTTTGTAGGTGATAAGTGCAAAAAAAGAAACTGTTAGAATAGAAGTATCGGTTGCATCCAGCTAGTTTAACAGTAAAACAGTGAGACCTAGTTACTAATCTAGTAGTACGATTAAATTCATGTAGTAGAAGCACTAGGGAAAAAACTGCATCAGAACAGTTGTAATGAAAGTATTTATAGAAATGTCAGAGGAAAGCAGTGGTGAGAAAGTGATTGAAGTTGAGATGCCAGTTGAGGACTGATTACATTACAGATCCTTCTTTGGATTTTACCAATAATCTGGGGATATTTAGCAGCAACATCAGACTAGATATCGCAGGAGTAGAAAGTGTGGAACCAAAAAGATGAAGTGAGTTGTTCTTCTGGAGGTTAGTATCAGCCATGCTGATGGAAGGCAAAAATGGTTCTCTATAAGGATTAAAAGATATCAGTTTAATTCTGGAGGCATTAAAATTTTCAAGTCATTTCTTGCTCTAGTTAACAACTGACTGGAAGTCATTTTTGAGAGCAGCTGCCAATTTTACTTTGTCAGACCAATCAAACTTACAATTAAAACAGGAGTAAATAGTTATGCTATCAAGATAAATAACTAATTGAAGATAATAAACAATGTATGATCAAAGATACAGTAATGTTAATTATCTAGAAGTCTGGACCTTCAACACAACTTCCATTACATGGTTTGTTAAAAATGAAAGGATTAAATGAAATATTCAACCAGAGACATCATAACACTTGGCCATATGAATTCAATATAGTCATTCCACTTCATGTCAGCTGAGAATGTTAGCCTGAGAGAGTGCAACGAATCATTTTACTGGAGGTTAGTATCAGCCATACTGATGAAAGGCAAAAATGGTTCTCTATTAGGATTATAAGATATCAGTTTCATTCTGGCGGCATTCAAATTTTCAAGTCATTTCTTGCCCCAGTTCTCCTGATGGAAGGCAGAAACGGTTCTCTCAGATGATTCTTTTCCTTGCTTTTTTTATATAGCAATTTGTTTCAATCGTTATACTCTCCAGCTCCCCCAAAAACATGAAAAAAGAATGAGAAAATTAATCCAAATTGACTAAAATATAATAATTTTTTATTCATCAAACTTTTAAAATTACAATGGTTTGATTAATAATTTATGATTTTCATCTTGTGGACATATTTGCATCTTATTTCAGTGATTAATTGCAAAATTATGTCAGTAACTGCTACTATAATTGCATGCAATTTAACATTTATTTTTTGAATTGGAAGTAAAAGAAAAAAGAGAGAGATAAAAAGAAGAAAAAAAAATGAGAAGAAAGGAATAAAGACATTCTACATGTTGTCTTTGCACTCTTTTTGTTTTTTTGTTCTTTTTTATAAAAATAAAATGATTTAATTCATCATGCACATAGACAGACAAACAGCCTGTGAGAAAGACAGACAAAGAGAAAGAAAGAGAAAGTGATTAATGAAATAATAAGTATATAAAAATGAATTTAAATTTATAATTTAATAATATATTTATTTACTCAGATGATGACAGAATGATATACAGATATAATAATACAAAGAAACCATTATGAAGTAACCACTTATTTTTTTTCCATTAACTACAACTTTTAGGATAAGAAACATTTTCAATGTGAGTTTTTTATTCTATTGTTTACCAAATACAATGCCCAAGAGCCACTAACGATAGAGGGCTACTGAATGAGGTTGTTTTAAGGTGATATGTCCCGAAAAGGGATATATTTGAATGAACTAAGTGGTTTTGGCTACTATAACCAAGTAGGATATGGTAGCAGTAATCAACTGGTATGCATCGTAGTTGAAGGTAAGAAGTGTAGATCAATGGCGTAGTCCAGTGGGTGTCGTTATAGACTTAGCTCTCAGACTAAGGCTCTTTGACTCTCCTACACGTCCGTCGGTATTTATGACGGATGCCAGCCAATCATATTCCAGTGAGTTGGGAACACAGGTGTACACATATTCCATTATATCATAAGGGTTACTGAATGAGCTTGTTTTAAGGGCTACTGAATGACATAAAAGATATAATATGAGGATATGTGGGATATATAATAATTAATTTTTTGTAACAGGTTGAGACACATCTCCTCCCCAAAATTGATTGCTACCTTTCTCAAGGTATTTGTGTGCAAATGAATATAATGAACCCAACCGGAATTGGAACTAAGCTCTCTGATTAAAAATTCTAAGCCATTATCAATTACACCACCTGCACATCCAAGCTTACAGCACCTGGTATTCCCAAGTGGTCACCCATTTAGGTACTGACCATGCTCGATGTTGCTTAAATCTGGTTATCATATGGGAACGGATGTTTCAACATGATATGGCTGTAAACAAATCTTAGCTATGGATGTTTCTATAGTGTAATGGATATCAACATGGAAGGTTGAATCAGTGAGCTGTGTTTAAATTCCGACTTTGTCTGACAAATGCTCTTAGGTTAAATTTATCTCTTCTCCCACTATAGTTGACTGTCTAGCCTTGGCTGGAAACCAGTCTAAGAGAAAGAAAACTCTAAATTCAAGTCATGTTAACCACTTCAGTTGAATCCATTGCTAGGTCAGCTGCTAAGAAAGTTGGTTCACTGTGTTGTGCAAGACAATTTCTTACATATCTATAAGTCTAACATTCATCCATGCTTAGAATATTGCTGCCACATATGGTCTGGTGACCTGGCTATTTATCTTGAGCTCTGTGATAAAATCAAAAAAAGGATTCAGCAATATTATTGGTCCTCATCTGGCAGCTTGGTTTCACTCACTTTTGCTCTGCTGTAAGGTTAGCTCTCTGTAACTTTTCTATAAATACTTTCATGGTAATTTTTCAGATGAGTCCTTGCTTTGGTACCCAGACTTTTTGAATTTAAGCACTGTACTAGACTGGTGTCAAGATCTCATCAATTTACAGTTGAGCTGGCTAGATGTAGCCACAAATTCCATGCTAACTGTTTCTTTTCTCACACTTCTTGCTTGTGGAATTCCCTTCCGGCTCCATGCTTTCCAGCTAACTTTAATCTTCAGGAATTTAAATGCAATGTCAATTGCTATCCACTGTCCTCTTGATTACTCTTTTCTCTTCCTGTTCGTTAGTAATGTTTCTGTTCCTAATTCTTCCACACCCTGTAACTTCTTGCGTCGTTGTGGCTTTACTGCCTTGCTTGGGGTAAAGCCAATTAAAAAAAATGGAATCTGTGAAGAGTTATGATTGCTTATGTCCTAAAAGGACATGTCATTGTGGGAAAAGGAAATAAAATTAATAAATAAAATAATAAAACAAAAAGAAAAGAAATACATTTTCCTATGATGTTCGTAATAAAGGAAATGGAAATTTTATTACTCCTCTTTGGCTTCATCAAACACCCATTAGGTGGTGGTCTTTTAAGTCTATAGAAAAACAAACATTTCTTTCCTCTCTTTTTCTTACTCCAAGATATACTAGCACATGGGGAAAGACGGCTATGCTGGGTCATGTTCATTTCCCAATTTATGAACAGATGCACTCTCTTTCTACAGGCATGTGCAAATGCCATGCATTTTCCAAAGCATGGTATTTGCACATGCCTTCCAAAACCTCCACCTACAAAGTAAATCAACCTTTTCTTTGGTCGTTCCAACTCAGCACAAGGCTGACTTCAGCTCAACCATTTTAATGATGCTTATCCTTACTTATTCTAACTTCTGAACAAAAAAAAAAATGTACATCCCCAAGAAATTTTGTTTTACTTCCATTTATATTAAAAATAAGAGAATGGTCCATAGTAGGAAACCAAGTTTTTGTATGCTTTTTTTGTTACATAATTACATATGAACACATACACTCTTACCAGTACACCAACACACCAACCTTTTAATTCCATAGTATTCTTTTTTAACCAAATATTAATAGGGCATTTGATTTGCAAAACTGAACAAAACACACTTATAAAAATAAACTCTAATAAAGAATATTTAAATTGATGGTTAGTAATAATAAGATTCTCTTTGGATGAATTGATTTGTGCTTTTTTAAGTTAATGATATTAAAATCAATTTTTTCTATATTACCTAAAAAAATAGCAAATATATCTTCATAATGAATGCAGAAATATATTTTGAAAACCCATAGTGTAAAATCAACTTTTGAAAAGAAATATGAGCAACATTTATATTACCACATAAACAAATTGAATCGTTTTCAACAATGATTAATGAAGAGATCAATGAGATTCTATTTTGAAAATGAATTGAAAAAAAGCTAAGGCAATTTATTTTCATTTTTAAATGTGATTTACAGTGTAACCCGGATATAAGAGAAACCTGGATATAAGAGAGATTTTCTCTGGTCCCAAATTAGAGCCTGTGTTACCTAAACAAAATAGACCAAACCCGGATATAAGAGACTTCTTCTCCGGTCCCGACAACTCTCTTATATCCAGGTTACACTGTATAAGGTTAATTTCTTATGGTGTCAAAACCTTTTCAGCCTTGCAATATTATATCAATAATAATTAAATACAAAATATAAATTTGTATGCATATATACGTACATGTACATTCCTAAGAATATATATATATATCATACATATTTTTCCTAGTATATATATATATATATATATATATGTAAGCAAATATATGGATATAGATCCGACAGTATGAAGAAAAATATACTGAAAAAACAAACAAAAATCCTAATATGCTATTATGCTGTTTTAATGTTTAATAACAATGTCAGACGTTTTCGTCTAATAGACCATCTTCAGGACATATTCATAATTACATAAAAGCAATACCAATCCAAACAGATAACTTATGAGTTATCTGTTTGGATTGGTATTGCTTTTATGTCCATCGTCTTTTTCATGTTGAATTGTATATGGTCTATGTTAATTATGTTTTATGAATATGTCTTGAAGATGGTCTATTAGACCGAAACTTCCGACGTTGACATTAAACATTAAAACAGCATAATTGCATATTAGGATTTTTGTTTGTTTTTTCAGTATATTTTTCTTCATATATATATATATATATATATATATATATATATATATATATATATATACGCTAATGCAAAGCTCTTCAGTAAAATGAATTTGAGCACTCTGACTGATTGACGTTTGTTTATATTCGTAAAAACAGTATGCTAGAATTAGCTGTTTCTTTCTAATGATGATAGCTTAGTGGTAGAAACTCTGACTGACTCCAAATCAGTCAGGTTTCAGACCTGGCTTAAGGCGTTCAGATGTTTAGTGTTTTCTATTGCCATAATGTAGCTTCCCTGTGCCTTTTCTATAACTACTTACATGATAATTGTTCAGATGAACTTTTCACTATGGTACCTAGAAGTGCAGTATGAGATTTGTGACAAGGCATCATCAATTCACAGTTGAATTGGCTAGATGAAAGTTCTATGCTGTTTCTTTTCTCGCACTTCTCACTTGTGGAACTCTCTTCCAGTTCTATGCTTTCCAGCCACCTTTGATCTTCAAAAATTTAAATGCAATGTCAATTGTTATCTTTCACATTCAGTAATCCCTTGTGCATTAGTGACTTTACTGCCTTGCCTGGGATGATTTGATTTGAAAAAAAATACATACTTAAAAACTTGGTATATGTTTTAAATCCTGCGTAGTTTACATCTTCCTTCACAATTTATAAGTTAATTAAATTTCATTTATATTGGTGTGCACTAAGTTAGGACATTGTAGCTTATGATAATTTTTTAACAGAAAATATGTGTCATTAAAGTACCTACTATAATTTGAATGTGTTTAATTTGATGATTTTGCCAAATTTTAATTTATATAGATTTTTACAGTTTTTCTTCACAAATCCTTGGAAAAGAAATTCTGATCTTTGGTCATGTAATCAGATTTTGGTAAGAAACTCAAGACAAGTACTGGAAGATCGATAGAATATAATGGAACATTTGAAATTAAATTTGTTAAGTTATAGATTTTCACTAAGCTTGACCACATATCATTGAGTATTCATGAAATAAGTTTAAAACCTAAGAGAAAGAAAGCGAAAAGAGAGGAAGAAAGAGTATCATCTGCTTCAACTTCAATATGGCTTCTCTCCCTTTACTCTACTGGATGAGATACAACAGAGATTTTTGTTTTTGTAATTAACAGAAAACATTTTTGCGACAAATAATCCGATAAGAATAATAATTAATTGTGGAAATTTAGTAGGAAAACATCCTCATTACTTTATTAATGAGATATCTTTGTCATGAATAGAATGAGCATTTCCGCTTTTGTATGTTTGTGATAAACAAGGTCCAAAAAGTAAGAGCAGCCATCAACATACATACATCATACACATGCATTTATAATGTCATTTTTAGCTTAAAATAAATTTGTATGTTTACAATACATACATGCCTGAGAAATAGTAATTAAATATCGGGCATACATTTTGTGTTTGGAAGGTTGGATGTGTTATTTGCGACTGCTAACAGCACAGAAAGAAAATGGAATCATAAAAAAATCAGTTAATAAATCAATGAATCATTGAATTTCAGCTGTGGTGGCTTATTTTCAATTTACTCAATTAACCTTCAGGGAAGGCATAAATCCACTCTACCCTGTGGTCTGCTTCCTCTTCATAATTTGTCACTGACATGGCACAAGTTAGATGTGAGTGGGTGTGTCAGCAATTCAGAAAATTTATGTAGTGGGAAAAAGCTGTTACCTCATAGTCATCATTAACAGAGCATATATATATATATATATATATATATATATATATATATATATATATATATATAGAGAGAGAGAGAGAGAGAGAGAAAGAGCTGGTTAAATCAAATAACTGGATGTTAGCAACTGTATAATCACATGTTAGCATGCATACACAGGTAAGGAAATAAATATTTACTAAATTTACTTTAAGGTATAAACAAAACAATGCTCAATGTGGTTAGACAGAGTTAAGAAATATATATTAATAAATATACAAATACCTACATTTGGGTTGCAACTTAAGTTTTGTTGTTCTACCAACTCATCAGGCACAAATTATTATTAATATTAATATTATTAATAAATATTTTGTGCCTGATGAGTTGGTAGAACAGATAAACTTAAGTCGCACTCCAAACGTAGGTATATGTGTATGTATTAATATAGGTATAGGGTTAGGTAAATGAGATAACTAGATATTAGCAACCATATGCACATGTGCTGGCATGCATATACTGGTAAGCAAATGAATAATTACCAAATTTAGCCAAGAGGTGTAGACATAATAGTGCTCAATGTGATTAGACAGAGCTAAGAAATATATGTTAATAAATACACATATACCTACGTTTGATGTGCGACTCAAGTTTCATTGGTTATATGTGAAT